TAAACAAACAGAAAAGGTCAGAAAGGCAACCCTCATACAGTGTAACCTGGTTAAGGAGGAAGGTAATGGAATTAGCTAGATCAAGCAGCTTGGAAATGAAATAGCAACCCTGGGGAGGATGTGCATGGCAAAATTGAGGTGACTTAGCAAAAAGAGCAACTAACGCTTGGAAATGACGATGTAATGATGACTGTGGTAATAACTGCAGTGATAGGCAGTGCAATAGGCTTGTCATAATGCACTGACGTGATGAGCTGAGCACTCTGTGCCCGCCTGTCATAATACGGGACAGATGGACCTAGTATTCAAGGTGAGACAGTCTGTAGGAAAGTCCAAAATGCTTATTAATTTAAAAACATAAACAAACTGAAACTAAAGTGGAGCTGCTAGGATCTGTGACTCTTGGGTGCTGCAAGAGGGGGGCGGGGCAGCGCCCAATCTCAGAAACTCTGTTGGGAGAAACACAGGTATGTAACCACGATCATCTGACAGAATATGCTGATCTCATTGAGTCACTTACCTGGTTCAACTGTCCGGTCCATCTCCCTGGAAAGGGGTTCAATCCAGCCCTGGACTGAAGGCATGCGTCACTGAGAGTGTCCCTGGTGCTGCAGCTTCAGAGGATTTGCAGGAAGCTGATCCTGGACAGGGATGCAGAAACAGGCAGGAACATACGGAACCGGCAGGATCCAGGCTTCCAAGAATCCTAGAGCACCCAGGCAGGTTCAGGTTCCAAACAGAGTCCAGCAGTGTGACCAGGTGGACAGGCACAGGAGCAGACAGGATCAGGTGCAGACGGGCAGGCCCAGTGGAAGAGCGTAGCCGAGACAGAACGTGGAACCAGAACTTGAGCAGGACCTTTAAAATGGTGTCCACCTTGGAGACAGGCTTGTTGGGATAAAAACTGATCCTCCCCACGTAAACAGCCAAAAACTCAGAGGGTTCAGCAAGGGAGGAACAGTGGATGAGCAGGAGACAAGACAGACACAAAAACCCTTTTTCCTCTGGCTGCCAGGATCCAGAACAAGAACCGTGGAGTTAACTGAACAAACTCAACAGAACAGACTAACAGAAAAGAACAACTAATGATCTGGCCATGATAGCTTTACCTGAGTCCCAGGGAAACTGGCAGGTGGATGAGATGAATGATAATTAGTAGCTGGAAAGAGTTAAGCAGGTGAAAGGTATGAGTAATTAAGGCCAGTTATCACAGCAGATCATGACACCGCCACTATGAGATGGGATAAGCTCCATTCAACGATGAGCTTAGAACACACTGCATGTGCAGCAATGAGCTAAAATAAACATGCACGAGCCACGATGAGCTGAGGACGTGAGATGGGGATGCGATGAGCAAAGACTAGACGTGTAAGCCACTGAAGGCTTCATAAAGAGCCCGCCACAATGGATGGAGGGCGACATAAAAGACCATAACAACCAAATGACGAGACATGCAAGCCCCGATGGTTAAGCGTGATGTTTCAGTTGAGATGTGCCTGTCATGATTTGGTAAGGTGTTCGATGTAAAGCACCTTTCATGATCTGACTGCATAGATCGGTGAGGGCGCAAAGCACCTGGTGCAATCTGAGGGGGCTGTAATGCACCTGCCAGGATGGGTTAAAAGCATTATACATCTGCCAAGATGGGACAAGGGCACCATAAAGCACCTGCCACGATGGGTTATTGGCGATGTGCCTGCTGAGATGGGTAGAGGGCGCCATAATGCACCCGCCGCGAGTGGGTAGAGGATGCCATAAAGTGCCCGACACGATTGATGGAGGGTGCTATAAGTGCCTGCAGCGATGGGAAAAAGGCGTCATAAAGCGGCTGCCGCTATGGACAGAGGGCAACATAAAGCTTNTTTTTTTGAATTAAGCATCATTAGAGGGGACAATCGCTTGGGAATAGATACATTTATGTGCAAAGTATTTATTGACAATCAGAATATATCTTAAATCTAAAAAAAACAGACAGGTTCACAGAATTCACAGACTTTTCTCTATAAAATTTATTTTCTGTATTCTTTGAAAATTGAATATCCACACGAACACACACATAACATATAGTTTACAGCCATCAAGTGAAATATACTCTGATGTTTTTGCGTCTCAGCACTACAGCCATGGAAACTGACCCTCCCCACTGACAGCAAAGGTTCAGCATTAGAATAGGTCTGATCGTCTGGTCTCTGAGGCCATAGATTAGTGAACTCAGACATTTGGGGAGAACCATGATACACATATAAAGAAAGACCTGGATGCGTATAGCTTCAAGTCTCTCTAGATGCTTTGAAATAACTATAGTCAATGAGTTAAACATGGTCGAGGACACTGTGAGGCCCATTTGCAGCAGATGCAGAAGCAGGGTCCTTCGAGCTTTGCTCGCTGATGCTTCGTCAGTGGAGGCTGAGTGAGCTGCTACTACGATACCAGTATAGGTGACAAAAACAGTTACACCTCCTAACACAAACAGAAAATAAGTAAAAGTTCTGTAATAAAGATCAGATGCTGGATCAAGAAAAATACTCTCCTTCCCACAGAAATCTATCATCTGTGTGAGCTGCAGGTCTGGAAATGAAAACCTTAATATTAAACCTAGTTGTGTAATTACATGAAATAAACTGACACACCATACAACACAAATAACCCATCCTGTGTTCCTGGTGGTGATGATAGCACTATGTCTTAGAGGATAGCACACAGCAATGTATCTCTCTAAGCACATGATCACCAGCGTGATGATAGAAACACTAAAAGTGAAAAAGTTGAGAAGGGTTAAGCCGACACACACAGAATAAGACATTGTTACTCTGGCAGTGGAAAGCAAAAACATCGACTGACTCTGTGCCAGCTGAGTTGTGTCTGCAAACAGAAGGTTAAAAAGAAGAATGTACCGAGAGGTCTCTACAAACACCGCTTTACTCCTTAAAGTGTATAACATTGTCAGATTGATGAAAAGAAACACACAGCATGGTAATGTTGTCATAGTGGAAAATAACACTAATGCAAGAATGCTATGACGCTGTATATCTAAGGTGGTGTTAAGCTGAGTTTGATTGATAATAGTCATTACAAAAGTCATACAAAGATTAAAGAGATTTCAATTTTAAGTACAACAGATACTTAGGAAGAAAGTATCTGTATGTTACCTATTGAAGCAGTTCGTACTAAGAATGCAGTTGGTTCCTGACTTCATATCTTTAAAACAATAAACCCCCTTTGCACACCATTATGGCCAGAATTAATGTGCATGATTTACCATTCGCTCTCCTTAAATTTGCTGCACCTTTTACACTTCCCTCCCTGATTCTCCAATTAGAAACTGGTACCCAGATAATGAGAGATATGCGGGGGCTTGAGAGCTGGGTGTGGTCTCAGCTGTGATAGAGCAGAGCTATCACAATGATGAAAGGTTTGTGACGGAGCAATGAGAATGGTAGAGGATTTCTCTGCACCAGAGACAGAGGTAATGTAACAAGAAAAGATAGGTTTTGTTCAGCAGACCAGCAGCCCTGAGCCACTCTGGTGTAAGCTGCTGATTTAGAGGTTCTGTGGCTTTTTTCCTACAGCTTACATACTGTGGATTTCATGGGGATTGTCAGAATCAAACACTGCAATGGCACAAGTGCACCCAAGGCTGGAGCTCAATGATCGACTCTGTATTCATATTTTCTGACCTCCAGTCGCAAGTTGTGGAGGCCTTGGTCAGGGACGTGTTCAACTCTCACCACCCTGAGAGGTTGTCCCAGATTTTGGGGGGAGGCTGGAGACAGAGTCTGAGTAGATAATACTCTCTTCCTCCATTGTTGATGTGGCTGACCATAGCTGTGGCCATAAGATCTGTCGTCCCTTTTGTTGGACAATCTCCATACCATGTGGTGGATACCGGCAGTAAGGGATGCAGTCAAGCTGAAGAAGTAGTCCTACCAAGGCTGGTAGGTAGGTCTATTAATGACATATGCCAGCAAGACTGCTGGCATATGTCATTGAATGTGAAGAAAAAACAGTATTTCCTCACTACTCTGTCCTCTCTGACCCCTGTTTAATAACCTTCAAAATTACTTCAACAGAGTTGTCCTCCCCCAAAAAAGGTTCAATTTTAGATAACTATCACATAATGCAGTTCCATCCATCCATCCATCCATCCATCCATCCATCCATCCATCCATCCATCCATCCATCCATCCATCCATCCATCCATCCATCCAT